GCAAATGTCGACTCTGCCAAGAAAAAGATGAAACTGTGTCACACCTCATCTGTGAATGTCCAAATATTGCACAAACAGGTTACAAAGTTAGACATGATGGAGTGCAAAATTAGTGCACTGGGCATTATGCAAATATATATAACTTGTGAGCCTCCAAAAATCCTTGGGAACATCAGGTAGAGAAGGTGTCAGAAAATGAGGAAGTCAAGATCCTGTGGGATTTCCAGATCCAAACTGAGATACACTTCCAGGGGATGCCAGAGTTGAAAATAAAGAATTGGAAAAACTAACAAAATGCAGAGACCTGGCAATCAAAACATCTCGCCTCTGGAAGAAAGACACCTCAGTGGTCCCTATCGTCACCGGGGCTATAGGAACAATATCAAGAAATTTCACACAGTATTATAAGCAATTGCAGATCTCAGAAATCACAGCATCAGAGCCACACAAAAAATTGCAGTATGAAGAACTGCATACATACTGCGACAATATTTAAGAGATACTTAGGTTTTTGTTTAAAACTTGTATCTGTCATATAATACCAGTCATTTTATAATGTTTACTGTGCCTGGTGTTTCTGAATGATGATGATGATGATGATGATAAAGCCAATTCTGACTGATGGCAACCCTTTTGAAGTAGACTCGGTATAGAATATTTAGAAGTGGTTTACCATTCCCTTCCTCTAGGGGGAGCCCTGGGACGGTGCAGCTTGCCCAAGGCCACACAGGCTGGCTGTACTCATAGAAGGCACAGTGGGGAATCGAACTCCTAACTTTTGGCTGTGCAACCGAATACCTAAACCACTGAGCTATCCAGTCACTGCTGATCCGTAGTAGCTGATAGAAAATGGCCTGCTTCCGGCTAGATGCTCCGAGAGATGCTGAACGACAGCTTTTTGGGCCATGCTTAAATTCAGGTGGCAGGGAGGTATAGCCCCCGGAGGATCTTCATGGATGCTGGGTTCCATGTAACTTGGGAGCTGCAGCCTCTGTTGTTGAGGCTCCCCCTATGTGCTTCAATCCTGGTCTTCTTACGTTCTGGCATGTTTGGAAAACCTGAGCAGATACAGAAGTGATTTGGGAAGAAGGTGTGCAGCACCTAAACAACTCACCGAAGCTGTGATGAATGATAAACTGAGAGAACAGCCATTTCCCCCCACCTGAATGATTTAGCAAGAGACATTTGAATATTATTGTTTGATCTGTAGTTAGCCTTTGTGTGATACATATATACATTTTTCTCCATGCTGTCTTTGCTAGAAATGTCCTGCGGTTTCTCAGCTCAAAGTTCATTTGACTTGTTGGGTGTTATTTTTTTCTCATTAGGAAGGATTACTAAGATCTTTGTCACACACCTTCATGGAGACCATTTCTTTGGCCTCCCTGGGCTTTTGTGTACAATCAGCCTCCAAAGTAGCCCCGACGCGCAGAGGCTTCCGGTGGAGATTTATGGGCCGCTTGGGCTGAAGAGCTTCCTCTGGAGGGCGATGGAGCTTTCCCACTCCCAACTCAACTTCCCTTATGCTGTCTACGAACTGGTGCCCACGCCAGACCAGTGTCCTGGAGAGGAGTGGAAAGAGCTGTCCTTTACGGATGGAGATAGGGCCTTGTCTAAAGAGATACAAGGAAAAACTATTTACCTGGATCCCGCGGAAGACTCATACACCTTGGTAGAAAATGGACAGTTTGTGGTGAAGGCTTTCAGGTTGTTTCATCGCATACCTTCTTTTGGATTTGTGGTGGAAGAGAAGCCACGAACTGGCAGACTCAATGCCCGAAAGCTGAAGGAACTAGGTAACAATGGCACTTACCTGTCTGATTTGTAAAAAAAAAAATCCATCTGTTGGTGGTCTGGATTCTGTTGAAGATAAGTGATGTTTTCAGCAAAACCTTGCAGTGTGGCTTGATCCTGTTCGGAGTTTCCAGCAGTCTATGCCCTTTTCCGGAATACTACACTCTATTCCACCCCTACTCATTTACTCATTTTCCCCGTCCAAAATATGCATACAGTCAATGAACCTTCTCACTAGTCAATTGGGTTGTTGCAAAGACTCAGATCTGGGTGGTAAGTGTTCGTTCTCTAGAACCAGCTGTGGGCCACATCCTCAGTGAAAACTGGGTTTTTCATTTTCTTTTAAACAAAAGTAATCAGAAGTGGATTTCTGGCTTTCACCGTCATCCATGCAGATTTCTGGCAAAGCAAAGCAGCACCTCTTGCTTTGAAGCAGAATGTTGTGTTCTGGAGGCGTTCCCTTTTGTGGGAATGAACTTGCAGTGATTTTCCTTCTTTGGCACACATGGACACACAGACACAGTATGTTTAGCATCTATTGAAGGAAACAGTAGTGCTCAGGGACCAAAGCAATACGTGGTGCTTTATGTGGCCCATGTGTGAGTTGCCACTCCTAAACTGGTACTACTGAATTCTTTAGAGTTCACACATTTGCATGAGTTAACATCCCTGTATTCTTTACAAGTAGACAAGCAAAACATGAGCACAGGGCCAACGGTAGCTAATCAAGGCAGACATCTTAAGCACTCACCAAGGGAAGTCCTTGCAGATTCTAAATAAGGAAACCACCCTAGGAGGAAAGACTAAAAGGACTGAGCGTGTTTAGCTTTGAGAAAAGAAGACTGAGGGGAGATAGGATAGCATTTTTCATATACTTGAAAGGCTGTCCTACAGAGGAGGGGGCAGGATATGGTCTCAGTCATCCCAGAATGCAGGACACATAATAATGGGCTCAAGCTACAGGAAGTCAGATTTAGGCTGATTATCAGGAAAAACTTCCAACACTATAGAGGCATTCAAGAGAAAAGTGGACAATCTTCTGTCAGATCTGCTTTAATTTGAAATCCTCCCTTGAGCAGGCGGTTGGCTTTGGTAGCATTATAGGTCCCTTCCAAGTCAATGATTGTATGGTCCCTTCATCCTTCTAAAATGTTTTGTATTTTTATGATCCTTGTGATTCCCCCAAACATGCTGCCATTTTTCTCATGTTTGTGGATAGTACTGTTTCGACTGTGTAAGGACCAACGTGGATTTGAGAAGGAATTTGCTCTAAGTACAATAGTAATTACATGCTGTCAAGTCAATTCCAACTTACAGCCATCCTTTTCAGGGTTTTCTAGGTACAGAGTATTCAGAAGTGGTTTCTCTAGGTTCTGTATTATAGAATATCCCCAATCATAATTGTTCTTTATGTTGCTTTTGCAAGATGTATTATAGATTCATCAGGGGCTTGGAACAGAAGAATGTTACCGCTTAAAATATGTTAGTAATATATATTGTAAAAAAGGTAAAGGTTCCCCTTGACATTCAGTCCAGTTGTGTCTGCCTCTAGGGCGCGGTGCTCATCCCCATTTCCAAGCCGTAGAGCCAGCGTTTGTCTGTAAACAGTTTCCGTGGTCAGCGCGACTAGACACCGAACACTGTTACCTGCCCACCAAAGTGGTACCTATTTAGCTACTCGCATTTTTACATGCTTTCAAACTGCTAGGTTGGCGCGACTGGGAGAAGCAATGGGAGCTCACTCCGTCACGTGCATTTGATCTTACGACTGCTGGTCTTCTGACCTTGCAGCACAGAGACTTCTGTGGTTTAACCTGCAGTGCTACCACGTCCCTAATATATATTGTATTCTCTTGCTATTATTTCACTGATATACTGCCTTTGTTTCAGTGAGCTAAAGAGAGCATTTATGGGTGTCTGCCTTTCTTTAATAACCCCGTGATTGGATCAGGTTCAGAAAGAGTGACTAGCTGGGGTCACCCAGTGGATTTTGTGATTCACAGGTGACTTGACCCTGAATCTCACAGGTTTCCAAACGACACCCTGCCAGCTTGGTCTCTTCATGTAAAACATTTTGTGTACAAAAAGTGTGCTGCTTATATCACTCCATAGCGCTTGAAGCCCTCTCTGGGCAGTTTACCGTTTTAATTGTGCAGGCTACACAATGAGGTGTGAAGATTTGTGTTTTTGGAGTACAACTTGTTCTTGGAGTTGTAGTACAAAAAAACAACAACACACAAATCTGCACCCCCTCCCATTGAATATGTGTGAGATATTTTATCTGAAGCATTTCTTGTTCTTTACAACAACCCTGTGGTAAGTTGGCATTGAATTGCTGATGGAAGTCACTGGGGAAGATTTAAATAGCCAGATGTTCCTGGTTTGTATCTTACGTTCTCAGGTTCTATACTAGCTAAAGTGAAAGTCTCCCAGGGCTGATATCATGGATGCTAATATTACTCCTCACATGTGGAGTTGACTAATCACTTTCTGAGCATAAGAAAGTACTGGCATCTCTGTAAAAAAGGGAGTGTACTGTGGCATGTTAGGGACTAATTAACTGATCACACTGGGTGTTCTCAAAATTATGGGCCTGTTCTATTGCCATGAAGTAGATTACTAGCTACGAAAGAGCACATTGCATTAATCCTACTAGTCTTAGAGATGTCTGAACGCTTCTTGCCGTTTTGCTATTGCAGACTTAATGCACCTTTTTCTTTCTAAAACACACTGAGAGCGTAAGTTCTGAAAAGCTTCTAGGGGAAAAGGAATCGTGCTGTTTTTGCAAAAGGTTCTCCCTCTTTTGACAGAAAAAGACAAATTAGTTAAATAGAATCATAGAAGTGGATTGGATCTCAGACTTCGTCTCTTTCAGAGTTGGTCAAAGTTACTTGTTCGGATTCCAGTTCCCGGAAGCAGACAGACAGCACGGCCAGTGCTAACTGTAGTCTTCTGAGAGTCCAAAAAAATAACTCTGCCCATTTTTGCATCTAGTCCACGCCAAGACTTCTGCTGTAAATCAGCTGGTACCGTCTCCTTCCCCAACCTAGGACCCTCCAGATGGGCTGAGTGGTTATCTGCACTGGGGATAATGGATGTTGTACAGTGGGGTCTTGACTTGAGAACTTAATCCGTATTGGAAGGCGGTTCTCAAGTCAAAAAGTTCTCAGGTCAAATCTGCATTTCCCATAGGAATGCATTGAAAACCATTTGATCTGTATCTGCTCTTTTCCGTCCATAGAAACTAATGGGAAGCTGCTATTCCGCCTTCGACCACTAGAGGGGGATATTTTGTTTCTTTTTTTCTTAGGTCAAGAAAGGTTCAGGGAAGGCAGGGAAAATACAGTCCAGGCAGTACAGGACCAGGCAGTCTGAAGACTCCCAATCCGCTCTCTAAACGCTGGGAGGAGTGAGGAAGCAGACAGGCACCCTTTTCACTGGCCAACAGTTAACTGAAAGTTCACATTTTGCACTTTCCCTGCCTCCCACGTGGGTTTTTTTTTTCAGTTCTTAACTCAAATCTAAGTACGTAAGTCAAGTCAATATTTTCCTATGAGAGTGGTTATTAAGTCAAAATGTTCTTAACTCGAGCCGTTCTTAAGTCAAGACCCCACTGTACTGTAATCCATCTGGGGGATTCCAGCTTGGACGAAAGCAGTGGTTCTCAATGTCTGGACTTCAACTCCCAGAATTGCCAGTCTTTATGGATTTTGTGGGGGGCGTTGGAGTCCATTTATTCTGGAGGGCCAAAGATTAAGGGCTACTGAGAGGAAGGTTGTGATCTGCTATTCCTAATAGGCAGTCATACCTCCTCTGCAGAAAACAGCTAATGAACCATCTATCATCAGCTTGCACTGTCAGGAAATTGCTCCTAATGTTTGGTTAAAATCCTATTTTCTTTGTAGCTTGAACATCTGGCTTGGGTGTCCTTATAGGATCAAATAAAGAACAAATTTAGCCTAACATCTTTTTAACTAACAGCCCTTCACATATTTGCTTACATATCATTCTGTCAGAAGACCAGCAAAGAACTCAGTGTGTATGTTTGTAGAACTCAGTGTGTATGTTTGTATGTGTGTGAGAAAAACAATGTTAGTTGTCATAATGTGGGTGTTAAAATGTAGAGATAATTATTTCTGCAGGCCATGTGAAGGATGAAATTATGTGGTCAATAAAAGCAGCAAGGACAGTAATCTAAACTAGATTAGAGCTTTGTGATGTAGTGGTTAAACTGCAGTATTGCAGCCAAGACTTCTCTCACAATCTGAATTCGATCCCAACGATCTTTTCATCCATCTGAGGTCAGAACCCACCTCCCTTGTAGGGCGGGGGGGGAGCAATGCATAACCTGCATAGTTAAATTGTAAAGTACGCAGAGTGCTTTAAGCACTTATAGGGTAGCATATAAGCACCACGCTTTGCTTTTTAAGTTTTTAAAAGCTGTATTCTGTTCTTTTAAAATGAATCTCTTTGTGTGCAGTCTTCTGAACCTAATATTCTCTGTGTTATCTTACGATATTTAGTGCTGTAGCAGTGGGCACTAGTGGGAAGAGGAAAGGTATACATGCATGAATGGGCAATGAATGAATACTGAGAGCCATGTGACAATTAAATGTAGGGTAGATGTTATTTTATAAGCTGCTCAGAGTGGTCGATTTGACCAGATGAGCGGGGTATAAATCAAATACATAATAATAATAACAATAAGGACGTGGTGGCACTGCAGGTTAAACCGCAGAAGCCTCTGTGCTGCAAGGTCAGAAGACCAGCAGTCGTAAAATCGAATCCACGCGACAGAGTGAGCTCTCGTCGCTTGTCCCAGCTCCTTGCCAACCTAGCAGATTGAAAGCATGAAAAATGCAAGTAGATAAATAGGTACCACCTCGGTGGGAAGGTCACGGCGTTCCCTGTCTAGTTCTGCTGGCCACGTGACCACGGAAGATTGTCTTCGAACAAACATTAGCTCTGCGGGTTGGAAATGGAGATGAGCACCGTGCCCTAGAGTCAAACATGACTGGACAAATTGTCAAGGGGAACCTTTACCTTTACCTAGATGCTCTCTGCTTATTTTCAAATACAGTGGTACCTCGCTTAATGTGCGCACCGTATAACGACGAAATCGCATAGCGCTCTGCTTATTTTCAAATAGAGTGGTACCTCGCTTAACGAGTGCACCGTATAACGACAAAATCGCATAGCGATCTTTTTTGAGATTGCTAATGTGATCGCTTACCGATGGCCTCTATGCCCAAAACTCGCATTGCGAAGATCGGTAAGTGTTTCGCTTACCGATCTTCGCATTGCGACGCCGGGAAATCAGCTGTTCGGCGGCTCCAAAATGGCCACCAGATGACTCAAAATGGCCACCGCAACCATTTTCGCAGCCTGCCCTCGCTTACCGAGGGCACGAAAATGGCGGCACTATGAGGAAGTTTCGCTTAACGGTGAGTATAGAAGCCATTGGAACGCATTAAACTAAGTTTAATGCGTTCCAATGGCATTTTGCGTCCCGTTTAGCGATGTTTCCTCATATACGGGGCACCACTGTATCTGCATTCATAAGAGCTAAAAATGTGATCATAATAGGAGGGAGGGCTGTGTAACAACAAGCATTTTCTTATAACCGTTATGTTGTGTTTAAGAAATGTTGTTAGGCATTTTTAGCAAAAGCTTATGCCATTTTATTTTCCTAAGAAAAGTCTAAGATTTTAACCAATAAAAATAATGTAAAACCAAATGTGTTACTAAAACTGGATGGAAAGTTGAATTACTTGAAAATTAACTTTTTCTTCTGTTTCAATGTGCAGGAGTTCAGCCCGGTCCACTATACGGTAAGCTGAAAGAAGGTATTACAGTGGCTCTAGAAGATGGAACCGTGATCTCACCTTCAGACGTCTTAGAAGAACCTCTTCCAGGAAGAAAAGTTTGTATTTTTGGAGATTGTTCCGGGATTGTCGGAGAGGGTGCAGTGTCTCTATGTTATGGAGCGGATCTCTTGGTTCACGAGGCTACGCTAGATGATAGCCAGGAGGATAAAGCCAAAGAGCGTGGCCACAGCACTCCAAAAATGGCAGCCACGTTTGCACAACAATGCAAGGTTAAGAGGCTGGTTCTCTCTCATTTTAGTCAAAGGTATAAACCAGCCAGTCAGATGGGTGAAGGAGATCTGGATATCACAGAACTGAAGAAGCAAGCTGAGGTAGTGTTGGATGGGCAAGAGGTACTACTGGCCGAAGATTTTATGACCATAGGCATTCCAATTAAAAAAAACAAGATAGCGTCAACCTAACTATAAAGAAAGAAGACAACAGTTTAGTGATAGACGGAGCCTAAGACTCTTGGTTTCCTAAGGAGCTCAATCAAGCCCTAATTGGAAGGAATTGATTGGTTGAGGAACCACTGGGCAGACACAGGAATATCTTATTTTAGCATTCCATTTTGCTTTGTACAGTACACATGAATTGCGCATTATGTATTTAACTAGCAGTTGAAAAATTGCTTGAATTCAGCCTGTGATGTTGTGCTAGCTTTCTTGGGAGGAAACCCCATTGAAATAAGCAAGGGTTTTACATGAATGTGTCCAAATTGGGCTGTTTACACTCTGTTAAGGGTTTTGGCTTGTTAATGCTAAGAGTATATTAATAATTATGCCAGAGTTTTAAACAAAACCATTCTCACCATAATTACATTTGAACTATTCACATTTTTAGCTCCATAAGGGATGCCATGGCCTCATGTTGAATGTGCAAATAAAGGATTTCAATTTATGTCAAGCAGTTTGTAGGTGTCTCGTTCTTACCCATGACTGTATGTTCGTTGCAGAAAGCACTCTTAACAGACATTCTTACTTTGTTTACAAGTTGATAAGGCACCACAGTCAAAGCTATGGTTTTTCCATTAGCGATGTATGGAAGGGAGAGCTGGACCATAAAGAAGGCTGACCGCTGAAGAATTGATGCTTTTGAATTGTGGTGCTGGAGGAGGCTCTTGAGAGTCCCCTGGACTGCAAAGAGAACAAACCTATCCATTTTGCAGGAAATCAACCCTGAGTGCTCACTGGAAGGACAGATCCTGAAGCTAAGGCTCCAATACTTTGGCCATCTCATGAGAAGAGAAGACTCCCTGAAAAAGACCCTGATGTTGGGAAAGTGTGAAGGCAAGAGGAGAAGGGGACGACAGAGGACGAGATGGTTGGACAGTGTCATCGAAGCAACAAACATGAATTTGACCAAACTCCGGGAGGCAGTGAAAGACAGGAGGGGCTGGCGTGCTCTGGTCCATGGGGTCATGAAGAGTCGGACACGACTTAAGGAATAAACAACGACAAGGCACCACATCATAGGTGAAGGGAATATATTTGTCAAGTTTTACTCACTATTACAGCAGTTGAACAAAAGTTGGCAACTGGGCCATCTGTGCAGGCAATCAAGGCTGTTGGTTGGCATGTAGTGTTTCCAGGAGTATACAGGGAAGAATTATGTGATCCAGGAGGGTCATCTCAAGATCTTTTGATACTAGCATTCCTGGGTCATGCCACAGCTGCTGCTTCTACTACTAGTATACTACTAACTACTACTGCTGCTATTTCTCAACATTGCTGATTGTTGCTGTTGTACCTTTTGTTATTAGGGATTACTCTGTTTTTGTCTGTACTTGCTTTTTTTTAAAGTAATGTTGTGAAGTTGGGTCCCAGGTCTGTGGAGAAAAGAAAGATACAAATTAAATAAGTACAGTAAATAACAGATGAGCATTTTGTGCAGTGCCGGATTGCACTGGACATTTGCATGCAACCTGACATTTCTTGTGCTTCACTGCGAGTACTCTTTGTGACAATGGCATTCATATGGCAAGAACTGCAGTGCTGGAAAGTTCTCTAGTTTACATAGCACAGGGATCCACACTTTAGCTGCAACAGTGGAGTCCGTGTGCTGCTATGATGAAAACATATTTTGTAGAATCAAGAGGCACAAAGACTTGAGAAAATGTGGCTTTATCCTCTGTTGCTTCCAAGACGTAATAAAACAGGAGCTCTCTCACTTCCCCTTATGCTGTCGTGTCCAAGTGCATCTAGAGTTTAAAAATACTCCTGCTTCCCCCGAGATCTCATCCTTGCTCAGATGTTCTTGATCTAAATTTAAACCTGGCAGGCCCGGTAGGTTTGAAGGCGGAATCTTTCTCATGTTCTAATAAATAGGGTGTGGTTTGGATTGAAGATTCCAGCTGCACGCATATTCTACTTCTTAAATGGCAGGTACTGACTCTGCTCCAAAGTTTCCTCCTGTTTGGGTCAGTGGCCTGAGCCAAGGAAAATTTCCTGTAACTAATCACTCTTGGGCTCAACACTTTCTCCCGACCAACCGTCTCCTGACTGACGGCAACCGCAGTGAGATTGTGCTTTTCTGATTGGTGGGTCAAGAATTTTGGACTGTAAAATCGTAGATTCTGAAAACCAGCGTATCCACTGAATATTAGGAAAAACCTCCTAACCGTTAGAGCAATATGGCAATAGAATCAATTACTTCAAGAGGTGGTGAGTGTTCCGACACTGGAGGCGTTCAAGAAAAATTTAGACAACTACCTGGCAGATATCCTTTGATTTGTATTCCTGCAATGAGCAGGGGGTTGGACTTGATGGTTTTGTAGCCCCCTTCCAACTTAATTATTCTACCCTGTTTCCTCGAAAATAAGACCTAACCTGAAAATAAGCCCTAGTATGATTTTTCAGGATGCTCGTAATATAAACTTTACCCCAGAAAGAAGCCCCAGTTAAGTGAAACCCCGCCCTCCACCACTGTGCAGCAACCAGAAGAAGATGACATGGCTGTATTTGTATAAATGAAGATTGTTGTACATGAAAAAATAAAACATCCCCTGAAAATACGCCTTAATGCATTTTCTTGGAGCAAAAGTTACTATAAGACCCTGTCTTATTTTCGGGGAAACATGGTATGATCAAGATGTTACAATTGTCTTGCCTTCTTGGACCAGAGGGGGTTGGGATGCTAAGCCTCGAATATGGGGAACCCTTAAAATGATCCCCAAATATTTTCACCTCTCAACAGTAAAGTAAAACTAATAAATATGTGGTATTTGTCATGCAAAAGGAAAATAATAAACATACCATTCATGTAATTTTCAAAAGAAAATCAGTTATCTGCTCATATACCTCAAAAGTGATGCATTACAAGTAATAGGGCAACTTGCATAAATTTCAAGCTGTGCATTTGGATAGCACACGGTTGGGAGTTCAATTCCCCACTGTGTCTCCTTGACAAGGGGCTGATGATCCAGAGGGTCCCTTCCAGCTCTGCAGTTCTAAGACTATAGATTTTTATTATTTAAATAATTGTGAGGAAAACCTGGTGGCGGGATCTATATTTTGAGAAACGTCAAATGTCTAAGTGACGTGAGGACATGAACACACTTTTACCTGCTAGCGAATCACATTAGTTATGTTACATCCAGGAGAGTTGTTTACCTATTTCACCAGGTTCCACTTTTAAGCTGACAATGCCTCAATTAAACGTGATTTACATTCTCTAAGTCTGATGCCATGGATTTAAGCCTTCAGTGTCAAAACTGCGTTGCATTTATCCCATTTTGATTTCAGTTTATTCGAGCAACCCTAAGCACTGAGGAGCAATGACTGAGTGGAGTCAATTGGGCTTCCTCTAGAGTCAATACATGGGGCTTAAAGCCTAGAATGGAGTGAATTAAACTGAGAAGAAGCAAAAGAAACCTCAGCTTTCCAAAACCTGACAGATACGGAGGTAGATTCCTTAACAGCAAGGCCCAAGGTAATTTTGTTTCTGAGACATTTTGTTAGGCAGTTTAAAGCAGCCAGCCTTCAAGAAGGAGATCATGGTATGAAATTGTGCAATTAGTTTAACAATAAAGTTTGCTGTGCCATCTGTAGACTTAATTGGGATAAATTTTTATCCCACCCTAGTGTTTAGCAATGTCTGTGTTAATAATTAACCTTGCTTGGGGAATAGTCAGCATTAAAGATTTTGGCATAATTTAAACTTAAGCATAACTGTTGCAAGTTGTCTATTTCAAAACGCAGTTCCCTCTGATTTTATAGTTCATACAGTTACACCCACCCCAAACCATATGCATCTCATATTTCTCACCCTAGGTGGGAGGAGGGGACCATGCATGGGTGTGAAAGCAGGACAATAAAGAAAGCTTGATAGATTAAAAAAATCATTCCTTTGAAATTTGGTGCTGCAGGACGGCTTTGAGGATACCTTGGACTGTGAGAAAGGCAAACAAGTGGACCCTAGATGAAACCAAGCCTGAACTATCTCCGGAGTTGAAACTGAGGCTGGTCCTGCTTTTGCGAACATCACGGGAAGGCAGGATTCTCTGGAAAAGGAAACCATGTCAGGAAAAGTGGAAAGAAGCAGGAAAAGAGGAAGACCAAATACGCGATGGACTGATTCCCTAAAGGAAGCCACAGGGTTGAGTTTAAGAGAGAGAAGCAGGGCAGTTGAAGAGGGGACATTTTGGGGATCGCTCATTGATAGGATCGCCCTAAGTCAGTAACCCTAAGTAACTTGATAGCACATAACAATAACAAAAATTATTTGTTGCCACCGTGACAGGTCTTCTAGTCTGTTTTGACACTTTGTAATTACACAAATTACAAAATGTAAATCCACTAACACTGACACGAACTAATTTGTTTGTAGTCTTAAAAGCTCCCATAATACTTTTTTTTGTGGCATTTGCCCCCTGCGCTCAATGGCCTCAAAAACAACCCCCTTCCCATGCTCTCTTCGGGGACCGGCGAGAACCCGGAAACACAAAATTTAAGCACGCGACGTCCTTAGCCGCGCCCGCCCGTCTCCTTTTTCCTCCCTCTAAATTACCAGAAATCGATCCGAAAGGGCTCGACGCGGCGGGGGTGGGGCGGGCGCAAGCGCTCCTCTTCCGATCGACGGGCGCATGCGCGCTTCGCGTGCCTGAAGTGGTCGAGACGGAGAGAATGGGAATGCGTGGAGGTGAAGAGGAAGAAGGAGGACGTCCTTAGCCGCGCCCGCCCGTCTCCTTTTTCCTCCCTCTAAATTACCAGAAATCGATCCGAAAGGGCTCGACGCGGCGGGGGTGGGGCGGGCGCAAGCGCTCCTCTTCCGATCGACGGGCGCATGCGCGCTTCGCGTGCCTGAAGTGGTCGAGACGGAGAGAATGGGAATGCGTGGAGGTGAAGAGGAAGAAGGAGAGGAGAAGCGAGCGAGGCGCGCGCGGGGGGGGGGGAAGGAGACCCGGATGTGGCGCATGCGCCACGGCCTCCGCCTGGACGTGTCTGCGGCAGCCCAGCAGCGGCGGCGGCAGCAGCAACAACAACACCAACACCACCAAGACGACGCAGGCGGCGGCATTGGCCGTCGGTTGGCGCGTTCTTCTTCTCCCTCACCGCCCCGCCTCACGCTTCTTCTTCTCTCGGGCCTTTCCTCCCTCGGGGGCGCCCCCCCCGTGCGCGCTCTGTGAGGGGGCCTCCCCGCGCCGCCCCCCTTTCCTCGCCTCTCTCAGGGGGGCCTCCGGAGAGGGAAGCGGGAAGGCGGAACGAGAGGAAGCGGCGGCCTGAGGGGTAGGCAGGGGGGGCGACCCGCTCAGGCCCCCTTCACGGGCAGGCCGCAGCCCCGCACGGGGTCCCGACGGAGGCCCAGGTAACGCCCCCCTCAGCTTTCCTTCTCGACCCCCCACCCCTCGTGTGTGGCTTGAGCTCTCCATCGCCTCAGCCTCGGGCGTGAAGAGTCGTCGTGGTAAAACTTGCATGGGTGAGGGAGGCTGCATTGGCGGGGGGCTACCAAAAGGGCCAAGCCTATTTTTTTGTAAGGGGGGGTGGGCTTGTGATGATGATGATGATGGGAGTTCCTGCCTCCCCCGCCCCGCGTGCTTGGCTTGGAAGGAAGTCCTGCGAACTTCGCGCGTGTGTTTGTGTATGCGTGTTTTGGGGCTTTGCCGCCGTCGAGGCTCACAACGGGGCAGAAGTTGCCTCAAAGGCATCTGGCCCCAGACTTGAAAGGGGGACGCTCCCGCCACC